GCACCCGCCCTATAGCAAAAACCTCTCAAAAAAAAAAAAATAAGGTTTTCAAACCCTTTTTTCTTTTATCCAATAATTTCCCCTTGTAAGTGTATGCCAAGAGAATTGTTTAAAAGAAAGAAAAAATCTGCTATAAAGATGCTCAGGACAGTTATCTATTCTCATAATAAAAACAAATTAGTTACAGATAATATAAATAAACCTCAAATCCAGGCCAGCAGCTGGAATGGATTAAGGAACTAGATCTCACATAGCTGACTATGAGGTCTGAGAACGAGGCCTGGCAGTTTTAAAAACATGCCACATATGTGTGCGTGGGTGCCCAAAATCCCAGGAGGTGACTGAAGGAGAAGGGATTGCAGCATAGCAATTCCTCCAGGGAGGTGATTTCTCACTTTTTCACTTTCTCTCTCTCCCCCAGGCCCAAATTTCTGTTATGTTGATTACTGTTAAATGTGTGCAAAGTAAAAGACTGACTGAATTTAGGGAACTGAATAATTTCTCTCTCTCTCTCTGGCAAGTGTACATACCATATAGCAAAAAACTAAAAATACATACCTCAAATCTAAGTTAATGTGACAGGTAATGAATAAAATGCCATTTGATCAGGACAAACATTACCTAGGACAATATGTTTATCCTCTACAGCCAGCATTAAGTAATTTTTGATGAAAAATATTATTAAAATTACTTATTATCATCATTCTTTTGGAATATGAATAACCATTCTATAAAAAAGTGGCTCATAAACTCATTTAGGTAGAACTTGTAAGAACCATAGTTGTATTTTTTGGAGAATTTCCCAAAATAGTAACATAAGGGTGACACAATCTTATTAGCAGAAAACAAATGTATTTTAAATACACAACATGAATGTCATAAAAAGTTTTCTTTGCTTTGGTAACTACTGTATTCCTAGTGTCAAAAAGTGTGCCTAATACATATTGGATGCTCAAATAAATATGTGTGAAATGAATGTTATCTACAAAACTATAAACAATCAAACTATGCTTACTTCCCAGTTTGTTTTTATTAATATGCATTTGCCATTTGTTCATTCGTACTGTCATTTGCTACAAGTAGAAACAGTTCATGAGGAACTGCAGATGGTATAATGGTTACATCGCTAAACTTCCATACAGTCAACAACAATTCAAGTCCTGGACTCGGAGGCTTAAAACTTACTCTGGGCACATGTGTGTGTGTGCCCAAAATCCCAAGAGAACAGAAGAGAAGGGACTGCGGTATGGCCATCACCTAGGGGGGTGATTTATTGCTTTCTATCTCTCTGTCCAGTGAGTGCACATGCCCTATAGCAAAAATCTCTTAAAAAAATAAGAAACAGTTCATGAAAACCATATGCAACAAAGCCTTGAAAATAGAAAATTCTATGCACTATCTTTGAATTGAGTGATGTAGTACCTCAAAGCCCAGGTCCATGAAAATCTGCTAGAAGACTACTGCCATAATGTGAACTTAGAACCATGTATCATGGGCAATAGAATAATACTTCTTATTGAATATAAACAAGATAGTTTTTTTTTTCTTTTACCTTGAAATAAATAGTTGATGTAAAGTAGAGCTGTGCTAGATGGTCAAAAAGAAGTGGTTTCACCTCTAGGAATTAAAAAAAAATTATTCAAAATCCATTTACTTCATATTACATTGAATTAAATCTCTCCACATTTTCATAATACATACCAGAGAAGTTACTAAAAGGAATCCAGCTCAAAAGTTGAAGAAACTGGGACCGACAACTGAAGCCATCCCAGAGAGGAAGGCTCTTATACAGGAACGCTTCGCAAGAATAAAACCCCTCCTGTAACACAAGTCGGTAGTAAAACCTTACATAGAAACTCTTCGGTCATTATCACTGTCTAAATAACCAGTTTATATTGTGCCATAGTTGTTTCACTTAAGCTAATTTTTTGTCATCAATAAAATAAAAAGATAAGGTAATCAGTATTTAGATACATTATCATCTCTATAATATAATTTTTAAATACCGTAAAACCCTATCATTTTTTTATAAAAGTCAAAGAGTCAAGCTATAGAATTTTTTTTAAAGATGAACTAATTATTTCAGAGAACATGAAGTAACTTAAACAGTCAATAAAATGTTATATAATATTATATAATGATACCTTATATAAGATATCATATAATATTATATAACGAAATATTATATGTTATATTATACTATATAATATTATATAATAGGGCTAGAATTTCATTAGGGCTCATCGACCAAATCCAAACTCTGGGCAGCTCCAACTGGAGAAGTCCAAATGTTTCATTTGCTTATATTTCCAATAGACTAAGGATACATGGTTTCCTCTTTTCGTTGTCACCCTGAGCTCCTTCTAAGTAGTGGCATACACCAGGACTCTATCCTGGACCTTCTTTTCACGATGTGAGTTCTCTGAACAATCTCATTCCTATCATAGGTAAAACCACCACCTTTATCGTAAGTATAAGTAGCCTTAAATCCATGTTTCTAGCCCAAATCTCATTCCTGAGTTGCAGTCGTTATCTCACTACCCACTTGTATGATCACTTAGGTGTCTCTCAGGCATTTCTTTCTTTCTTTCTTTCTTTCTTTCTTTCTTTCTTTCTTTCTTTCTTTCTTTCTTTCTTTCTTTCTTTCTTTCTTTTTTTTTTTAAGGGGTTTTTGCTATAGGGCACATGTGCTCACCAGACAGAGAGACAGAGAGTGAGAAATCACCCCCCAGGGGGGATGGCTACACTGCAATCCCTTCTCCTCCATTCTCCTCTCAGGATCTAGGGCACACACACATACGTGCCCGGCGTGAGTTTAAGCCACCAGGTCTGGGACATGAACCGCGGTCGACTACATGGGAGTCCAGCGACATAGCCATTACGCTAACTACTGGTCCCTCTCAGGCATTTCTTAAATCAAACTTAACCTTTCCTTCCAAGCCTGCTCCTCCTATATTCCTTTTCTTAATGTATGTCATGTACAGTCCTGAGTAAGAAACTTAATAGTCAACCTATATTTCTCCCTTCATCCACATCTAACTCTGATGAAATGGTTTCATACCAAATCTTTAATATTTATTTAACAAAAATTTACTGAGCATCTTTTGTACTAGGTAGTAAGTAAATATCTCTACATGAAGAAATGTTAGACATGTTTTCTGCCCCCTGGGAGCTCATAACGTGTGGAAAATAAAAATGAATGCTGAAGATGCCATGATAGAGCTAAGCATAGAAAACTATGGGTGCAGGGAACCAGCAGTTAGCGTAATGGCTATGTCACTGGACTCCCACGTAGTCAACCGCGGTTCACGTCCTGGACCCGGTGGCTTAAAACTCATGCCGGGCGTGTGTGCGTGCGTGCCCAAGATCCCGAGAGGAGAATGGAGGAGAAGGGATTGCGGCATGACCATCCCCCCTGGGGGGTGATTTCTCGCTTTCTGTCTCTATGTCTCTCTCTGTCTGTCTGGTAAGCACACACGCCCTATAGCGAAAATCTCTCTCAAAAAAGAAAAAAAATTAAACTATGGGTGCACACAGAACCCAGACTGGACTTTTTAATGGTGCTGACACCTGAGTTGCCGCTTACAGTACATCTCAGAGTTACCCAGTCAAATAGTCCATTGGCTGGAATGTATCTGATATTCCACAAATGTTTGTTGATTATAAGAAAACTCATGGCAGGCATGTGTGCGTGCGTGCCCAAGATCCCGAGAGGAGAATGGAGAAGGGACTGCGGTGTGGCCATCCCCCCTAGGGGGGAATTTCTCGCTTTCTGTCGCTCTGTCTCTCTCTGTCTTTCTGGCAAGTGCACAAGCCCTATAGCAAAAATCTTGCAAAAAAATTATGTATCTTTCTGTTTTATTTCCATAATTTAACATGTTCTTTCTTCAACTTCAACAGTGCAGAGAGAAATGCCTGTCCAGTTTGGCTCTATTTATAAGTTTTAAATTGAGCAAATATTGTTTACAAAATATGTCAAGTACTAAAGGATAGTTTTTCATCAGACATCTAAATAAATTTTAGTAAACAGTGGCAGAGTATGTAGGAAGAAAGTACTCTTACTTGAAAGAAGCACTGTACCCTGATGATAGTGTCCAAGAAGTTGATAAATTCTCTTCCATGTTCATAATTGTTCACCTTGTACCAAATACATTCTAGAGCAGAAATAGTAAATATAAGCATATGGTTGCACAATAATGAAAACATTTCAAAACAGAATTATCACTATTCTGAGATGATAAATAAATGACAGATTTTCAAAACACCATAAGTCTCATACATCCCGGCCAATGCACACTGAAGATTGTAACAGGTATGTGGAGTATCTTGTATTGATATGTTCCTCGACAATTTGGTACTATGAAGGAGAGCAGAGAGTAAAAACATTAACTTCTAAAATCCACACATAATGAATGTGATTAGTTTTATGTCACACAGTAAGCCAAGAAACTATACATGTACAGGGACCAGCAGATAGCACAATGGTTATGTTGCTGGACTCTCACATGGCTGATTGTGGTTTGAGTCCTGGACCTGGTAGCTTGAAATATACCAGGCGTGTGGCTTGAATCACACCAGGCGTGTGTATTTGTGTGCCCAAAATCCTGAGAGGAGACTGAAGGAGAAGGAATTGTGGTGTGGCCATCCCCCCCCCCGGGAGTGTGATTTCTTACTTTCTGTCTCTGGTGAGCACACATGTCCTATACCAAAAATCTCTCTAAAAGAAAAAAAAGAGAGAGAAACTATACATGTATGAATTAGGGCTAGCATAGTAGTTAAGGTGGCTGGACCCTATATGGCCAACAGCAAGGTTTGAGTTCCAGACCTGGCAGCTTGAGAATTATCTCAGGTGTGTATGTGTATGCCCAAAATCCAGAAAGGAGGGCAAATGGAAGAAAAGGGATTGCGGCATGACCATTCTCCATAGTAAGTACTTTCTTACTTTCTCTCCAGAAAGCACATGCACCCCTGGCAAAAAAAAAAAAAAAAAAAAAAAAAAAAAAATTTACGATATGTCTGAATTAAGTTTGAGAATACCCTAAACTTCAATTAGGGTGAACTGGGAGTAATTTGAAAGTACCATGAAATTAATAAGTAGAAATCTAATAAAGTAGAAATCTAATAAATTGTGTCACATTGTATCTAAAGAAAAATTCTGGGCTGACCACAAGGCCTAATAGTTAAGGGAGTCAGATCCCACATGGCTGATTACAAGGTTCAAATCCTGGTCCCAGGAGCTTGAAGAATATGCTGAGTACATGTGTGTTCATGCTCCGAATCCCAACAAGATGGAGAAATGGAGGAGAAAGGATTATAGTGTGACCATGCCCCATTTGGGGGTGTTTTCTTTCCACTCCACATCCTCCTATCTCTCTTGGGCAAGTGCACATGCCTCTAGCAGTTTAAAAAAAAGAAAGACTGAGTAGAAAAGGAAAGTTGGTCTGTGGAATTGACAAAAATCAACTTTAACTACTTGAACAGTCAGGAGTTGCTTATCCAGGAAAGAAACCCAGTCACCAGAAATATGCCCCCTTGGAGAAATGAAGTCATCAGGCTTTACAATGGCCTAGGTAACAGACTACTCGTTGCCCTTTCTTTTATTTCTATGATTAAGAAATCATATGACAAATTTGTCTCCAATATATGTTGAGAGCAGAGAGGTAATATTCTAGTTGGCAGACATGAGCATTTTGGTCATGAGAATTACTTCTAGTATAAAATAATAAACTGACATTCTGGCTTTTATGTTAGTCTCCTCTGAGTTTGATTAACATTAACTCAATGACTCTGGGGGCTTAATGGAGATTTCTAGACATATAAAAATACAGAAGCCTTGGATTGTGACAGTCATCAAAGTAGAGCTACTCGAGTTTTTTTTTTTTTTCTTTTTTTGGAGAGGTTTTTGCTATAGGGTGTGTGCGCTCACCAGAAAAACAGAGACAGAAAGTGAGAAATCACCCCCCAGGGGGATGGCCATGCTACAATCCCTTCTCCTCCATTCTCCTCTTGGGATCTTAGGCACACTCACACACATGCCCAGCGTGAGTTTAAGCTGCTGGGTCCGGGACTTGAACCATGGTCGACTACATGGGAGTCCAGCAAATAGCCATTACGCTAACTGCTGGTCCTGAGCTACTCGAGTTTCGATGGCCATTTAGCAGTGTTTCTTTAATAACCCTCCTCCTATCTTAACTGCTTTAAAATTACAACTGAGGGGCCAGCAAATGGTGTGGTGGTTAAGGTATTGGACTTCCACATGGCTGACGATGGCTCAAGTCCCTCCCTCCCTTGCTCCCCCACCCTCTCTCTCTCTCTCTCTCTCTCTCTCTCTCTGTGTGTGTGTGTGTGTGTGTGTGTGTGTGTGTGTGTGTTTTTTTCTCTTGCAAA